GTCCCTTCCGACCCTACAAACTATGAAACTATGAAACACACACATATTTCAATTAAAAAAGCTAACCTAGTCATTTTAATATTACTTATAATCTCACATCTAAGGTAGTGGACTAGATTTATTTACAACTTCAAGCTTTACCAAAGTTTAACAAAATAGAAGGGACGAATGGTCTAGTGGTTTGGACATCAGTATAGACTAGGGTTCACTTCTCTCTTTTACCTGTGTGAGCTCAGTTATTCAGTGTTTCATGCTTCAGCTCACCAGCTAACAAAACAGGAATAATACTTCTCCTCTCAAACAATTTTTGTCCATCTCCTCCAATTAAGTAAGATCATCATAGCACAGGTTTTCTGATACTCTTCATTTATACAGCACCTATCACAGGTTCTGATCCTGACTTAAGTTTCTAGGTCCTACTGTAACCATCACGATTTACTCATAGTCAATTACAGCAGTGGCAGAAAGGGAAAGGTTGAATCAAACACAAATGGCTGTGCAGGCCTATGCACAATAAGAACATTTCATCTCAAAAAATGTGCCGCTCAACATGCAAGTTAGGTGGTGATGGCAGCAGCAGAAGTGATGACTGCCACTGCATCCTTCACCTTCCGTGGTTTTTCAGCCTGTTGCCGTTCACTAAGTCATCTGTAGCCCCAGCAGGGGTGGGGATGTGGTCAGATGTGTCCCGGCATTGCCCCATCAAGGTGAAGTGGGCAGAGAGTGGGTTAATTCTTCCCTCCTTCCCCTCCCCCCACCCCACCCCACTGCAGCTGGGGTCTGCCTGTCTGCAGGCAAGCAAGGTGGTGGCTGGGGCTGGCAGACTCCAGCTGTGGTCCCCAGGGCGGCAGGGATGGAAGGAGGAATTAACCCCCTCCTTCCCACTCAGCCCCCTTTGCCTAACAGGGCCATGCCAGAATGGTATCTGGCTGTGCCCCTTCCCTTCCCACTAGAGCAGTGAGGGGAGGGTTAGCCTCTGCAGGGTGCCCCAAGGAGCACAAGCATAAAAGAGGTTTAT